AGGTCAACCCACTTCTATAATTCGGTAGACTGATGTCAATTAAAACAGTTCAGAGATAGCTATATTACAATATTGTCCTATGAAGATGCAATTCCAAATATTTTATAAGGCTGTGATATTGGAGGAAAATATAAAAAATATGAGGGGGGAATGTATGGAGAATTTTGAATTAGTATAACGTTCTTCTTAAATTAAAAACGTCAGAGAAAGATAACTGCGCGCCGGAAACCTACAGATTTCACAATTTCTATTACTTTCCTAGTTATAACCTGATATCAGAGGACTTTATAAGCTTGATAATTGTTGAAGCGCTTAGTCAGTCAACTTAAATCAAAAATTAATAAGATAAAAAGATTTATAAAAGATAAAAAAATGAACCCTGGTTAATGCTCATATAAATTAAAAGAATAAAGAATAAAGAATAAAATTTAAAAATGAGTTGATTTATAATTATTATCTATCAAAATAAAATTATAAAAATAGCTAGAAAAAAATTTAAAGTAGGGGGTCCCGACCCAGCTAACGAATAGCCTTACATGCATGAAATAAGCTTTTGCCTATAGTCACCCAAAAACGAGGATAATCTTATTTAGTAAGTGAGTAAAATCTAAAATGATGATAAAAACAGAAGAATATATCGTAATCGTATAGACTAGATATAAGAAATAGAACAGATCAACATGATCTTGCAAAATATGAGAACCAGTATACACAGACTTGTTATTTCATCAGGGAAAAAAAGAGCATAAAATATTAGAGTAACCTAAAGTATAAGGTGCATTAGTCGATTAAATGATTTTTTCCTGACTCCAGGTACAATTTAGGGCCATTCTCAGCGCCATCTGAGGAGTTCATCTATTGCAAAAGGCTTCGAAATAATAAAATATCCTACTAAAATCGAATGTGACACCTAAAACATTCTAAAAGTATTCTTTTAAATAGGAAATGACTATAGGAAATTTCAGATATTCTCAAAACTAGTTCAAGTTCGAATTAAAATCATAAATATAATTCGCATTTAACTCAATATATTTGCTTCTTCTTTAAGCATCCGAGCTACCAAAGTCCATCTCTTAAAATTTGATGACATGTCTCACAGAGTATTGTTGGGCTTACTTCCAATATCACAGAGTATTACCCACTTACCTCGCCGCATAATCTATTTTGAGCTCCCTGTCATTCAATCGGCATCAATAGGCGGATAAAGGCAATACGATAATAGTAGTTACAATGTTATGCTCATAAAATGAATAAGATGTCAGTCCAGGTAAATTGACATCGACTAAAATATATAGATTCTTACGATAATGCTGCTGAATTATTAAAAATATGTGAGCTCATGTTATAGGTAAATTAGCCTATGGCTTCAGATGGAGTCTTTTTAAATGGAAAACGGGCATAGTACTAAAGAGATTAGTAAACTAAATAATGAACAATGAATACATTTAAAGACATTCAAACTCGAAAACAGAATAAAACTCTTGTTTATAAGATAAGGAAAAATGAGAATATTACTGCCGGCGTAAACTGTGTGCTGACGCAGGTCATTAACATCAATGAGCGTGTCAGCGCCTGATATCAAAGTCTGTAGCTCCTCAGCGTCGAAAAGGCGTAGCCAATCTATGCAGACAACGTCGTTAAGGCCAGCAACAAATGCTCGAACCTGTGGGTGAATCTAGGAAACAAATAAATGGAAAGTTGATTATGTCAGATAAACTATATATATATATATATATATATAT